GAAAACCCAAATGGCTCCACATGACCAAATTACCAGTGACAGGGAGCAATGGGTCCTGTTCTGGAGCTACCTCAGTAAGGTTCTGCATACAGAAGTGCTTGGAAAGGGAGGGAGGCTTTTTATGACTTATTTCCCTAGCAACCTCAAGCTTGTTGATGTGGAAGCAGCCCATGCCAGTATAGCAAATCCCCTAACACAAGCTCTAGAGGGTGGATTTGGAGTCAAAATCTGCCCAGCAACAGACTGAATGTGCACTCTGAAACACTGGGATGTGACCCATGAACAACTGACAGCAAAATCCCCTGCACCAAAACCCTGGGCACAATGCCTCTCTATAGCCAAACCAGTTTCAAACCAGGGCAGTGGCTGGTTTTGGTCCCACCATACCTGCTGCCCTGCTGGACCAGCCCATTTGGGCACTTCCTCTGGGCATCTCCTCTGCCTTCCTCCATGCCACATGGGGAAGAGCCAAGCAACCAGCCCTGACTGGGAGAAGCCTTCCCTCCTCGGAGGGAGGCTGCAGTTCAGAGAGGGAGAGTGCCTATAAAGCATTTAATTTTAATTAATAAGATGGGGGCATTTAATTCTTGCCTCCCTCCCCAGTGACAAGCCAGGACCACTTGCGTTCTGGTGGATGTCTGATCCTGGACGTGCTCCTCCATGTGGTGAGCTGGAGGGGTCACCCACAGGTTCCTGGTGTCTTTTTCCAAATAGAAGCCATTGAAAGGAAAAGACAGAGAGACACAGGAGGAGAGGAAAAAAGGCACTAACTAATTAACTAATGGGTTTAGTGTATGTTGTGGGGACATAAAAGCTGACACATTCCTGCCTGAGCTTGCTTAGCCCCCCAAATGGCACAGCCAGGAAGGGAAGGATGCTGCACCTCATGGGCAGGAAGGGGCCACGGAGTGGCTGTGTCAGGGCTGGAGGAAAGGCCATCTGTGGCTGCTGGACTTGGGGCCAGGCTTTGGAGCTGCTCCCTCTCTAAATTTGTGCACTTGCTTCCACACTCTCCTTTCGTTCTGCCTTGCCCAAGCAGCACTGGTTGAACCAGAGGATGGAATGTGCTTCTGCCACTGATCCAACAGAGACATATTTTCATGCCAAAACTTCATTAGCCATTTTCTTATTGTTTTGCTGATCATTGCTGGTTTTGCTGATAATGTTCTACTTAATCTCTCACAGACATTCTTTCTTTAAGAAGGAAAGAAGTGTAACTCGTGAAGACTGCTGACAACCCGTAGAAATTCAGCAATCAGTTTAAGGACAATAACAGCCCAGAGTGATGCTTTACATGCCAGTCCCAAGAGTGCCTGCCTGCATTAATCTTGTGGAGCAAAGCTGCTAACGCTGCAAAGGCCGCTACACTCCTCAGCCTGCCAAGCAAGACAGTGGGCTTGGAGAGATAGAGGCATTCCCAGAGGCATTTCTTGAAACTCAATCAGGTCTGGCTGGGGAAGGAGGCATTTGCTGGTGCAAGAGAAGAGGACATGACAGCAGGTGGGTGTAAGGTGGCGTGGCTGGCCTGTGATAGAAGCTGAGCTGGTCAACCACAGTAGATTCAAGAAGATGATCTGCCTGGGACCACTGCCTCTGTGCTCCTGATGCTCTGTAACCGTTACTCATGGAAGGGAAGAGCCCTCCCCAAATCCTTGCACTTTGCCTACTTGCCTTTTTTTTTAAGTGAATGCTCACAAAGTATTGAATCTGCCTGAAGCAACCAAAGTGCCTTTTGAGTTAGCTGTGAGTGCTGAGTAGAAAAGAGGCACATGTATAGATAGCTTTTAAGGGTATGCACATCCACGCACCTGCTGGGAACAGTTCAGAAATACAACTGGGTTGGCTGCAATGTGAAGCGAGAGAGCTGAGAGAGCTGCGAATGGAATAGCAAGTGAAGTATTTGTATAAGCAATGTCTAAAGCAGCAGCTAATGGAGAAGCAGCTGACATGCATGTTCTGGCTCTTTAGTGCTTATTCTGAGGAAATGGCCTGACGCCCTCAGCACAGCAGAGCTGCTTAACTACCCTCACTGACAAGAACTGAAAAAGAGAAATTAGCTACAATTGCAATATTCCTGCAGTAATGTTTGCATCCTAATCGCCTTTCACGGAAAAAACAAAAAGAAAACAAAAACCATTCAGTGAGGAATTTTTGTATAAGCATTACTTACATGTAAAGTAAATCCACTAACTGCCTCCCCTGTAAAAAACAGAACATTAAATATAGAATCATAGAATCAACTAGGTTAGAAAATATCTTTAACATCATCAAGTCCAAATCTGGCCTGGACAGTCCTGTTGTACCTGCAGGTGTTATATCGAATGAGATAGCACCACTGACTGCATACATCGGATAGATACACATACGTGGGAACTATTTCAGCATGTTAAATGTATGAACATCATTGCCTCCATGAGGTCTATAAATACAGCATTCATATTATCAGCCCTCTCAGCTGTAATGCCCGGAGTCGGGGAGGTGGAAGGAAGGGGTGAGGCTCTGAACTGAATGGGAAGGATTCTTGCTTAGGAAACTCCATAGTTCTGGGTTGGTTTTTTCCTCACTCTCAGAACAAAATGTGAGGTTACAGATTCTCGGGGAAAATACAATAAAATGCAAAAATCTTCTTGGAACAAAAATGTTCCATTTCCAAAATGTCAAAATGATGTTTTGACATTATGAAAAGCTGTAGTTTCAGTTAAATAGAATTTTACGTTAGAAAGTGACATGCTTTTATGAAGAGTTTTGATTTTGACGAAGTGGGATTTTCCAGCATTGAAGCCATCTGATAAAGTCTAACCAGATTTGACTATTGATATGCTACAGTAAGGTGGGTTTTTAAGTGGAGGAATTAAAATGACCTTTTCTAAAAAAAGGAGAGTTAAATGAGTTCAAAATTATGGGGGAGGGGGCGACAAGGGAAGAAACAGATTGTTTGAGGACTCTCTGCAAGTGTTATGACTAATACAGCAAGATTTTTACATATTTTGGGGATTTTTGTGGGGAATAAAAACCTTTTTTCAAAAAGTGTAAGAGTGAAAAATGTACTGTACAGGTTTGACGTTGATGTGAAGACACCTCTACCTCTGACAAAAAGCTGAACAGATTTCCATTCTTTACACCACAGACAGAAAGTGATGTGGATGGGTGTTACGTTCCAAGCATCAGCACAATTATGGTTCAGTATATTTCATCACTTGATAGGATACAACTTTTCATTTAATACACTTGTTCAGATCTTCCTATTAGGGGTGCTTCAGCGTGCCAATAGGATTTGCTGAAAGCTGGTCAGTCCTGTAGAGATCCAATTCTGCAAACATATGCAGACAACTTTTTTAATCTGGGGGAGTAGTCCCCGAGTGTTTAGCAAAAGTCTTGTGGAATACAGTTTCTCATCTGAAGGATTTTCAGGATTAGGCCTTGAACAGTTACTTTTCTGTAGGAGTTCTAGTCTAGAAACATGCATCAAGTTGAATTTTATTCCATGAGGTATTTTTGGCAACAGTCTGTTCTACATAAACAGGGTCAGACAGTATGACGTCCTGCATATTATCAGGACCCCATTTCTCAATTCTATTGAGGCTAGCTCTAAAATAACCTGCATGTCTTGCAGATACTTGCTACCTCTCCTTGTCACACACTAAGGTTTTAAACTGTATGGATGTGTCCCTTTGTAGTCCTCCTCTGGAAGGATAAAATGAGGCATGCCTATGCCACTGATTACTTCCTCAGCCTAAGACGTGTCTTCTTCCCCTTGGCTACATGGGATATCAATGAGTACCTTTAAGATTTGGGTCAGACCATTATTTTTGATCCATTTGGGAGGGAAAGCCTGGCACATCTGCTGCATGCTGAAAGCCACAGTGAAATCGGAAACCAACCCTACAGCATCCACCCTGGACCTGACCGTTGCTGCAAAGTGCAGAGATGTGCCCTGCATTGCTGCTCCTCACCAGAAATGCACCCGGCTCCCTCACTTTTTAAAATGCAAACAGAACCAAACCCAGAAACTCTGCCTTTTCTTAGAGTGCCACAAACTGTACGCCAGAGAGGAACTGCTCGGGGAAGGGAGCCGACAGCTGAGTGTGCCAGACACCGTGGGAGCCATCCACCCCCTCTCCAGTGTAATGGGAAACATCCTGTCAGAAACACTCTCTGCATTTGGGTTTTCCTTGAATTAATTATCTGTAAGCGGTGACGGGATTATCCTGCTGGGAGCCTGCGATTCCTTGTTGGTATTTACGGATGTGCTCGATAGCAGAGTCGGGATGGTCAAAGCTCATCAGACAGAAAGCACCATGGTATCAGAGCGCCAGCCTCAAGTCTATTAGAGCTGCTCCCTCTAGTGGGAAAAAGTACTTTAGCAACAAATCCCCTCTTTTCTCCTCTATTTTATTTTCTTCCTTTTTCTTTTTTTAACTTTTTTTTTTCTTTTTGGGTTTGTTTGGTTTTTGTTTGTTGGTTTTGTTTTTTTTTTTTAAGTAGAGGAATTCAAGTTTTCCAGATAGTGCAAGACATGGGGAAGTTCCCATGAGACAGTAAGTGAACAAACGCTGCCCTTTCCCAGCCCTTGGGCATTGGTGGTTGAGCTGGAGCCCAGCTGATGCAGGTCAGCGGTTACTCCTCCGAGATGGACCCATGGCAAGTGAGGGACCCTTGGTTAGTCTTCCAGCAGTCCTCAGTATATGCCGTAGCCATGTTTGGTTTTGATTTTCCACTTTTGATTACAAAAATAGGACTTACTATAATCATAATAATATTAATGATACAAAATAATTATTGTAATTATATACTTTTTGGCAAATTATTAACACAAAGCATCCCAAAACACCCCATTGGATTAAAAAAAGGTGACGATGCACAAATGTTAAAAAAGACAAAGTCATTGTTAAAAAAGAAGGAAAAGTAATTTGCAAATTAATGCATTTCTGTAAGGCAACATGTTACCTTTAGTTTTCCATCTAGATTTAGGTCATGTTCTGTTGTTGTTCAAGAAATTGTTAGAACTTGGCTTGCTTGAGCTTATCAATGTGGTAACACAGTTTCAGCGCAGGTCCCAGTTTCAGCCCCAGGTATTTCATGATCATGTCACTTTTCAGCAGCAACAAAGCATTGCCATCAATCTCCTGGTTTCAAAAGAGACAAAGAGAATCAGAATATGTTAACCCCCTTCCAGTGCTGTGTCCTGACACATTAAACAAGGTGAATCAGAAACAGCATGTGTTTTAGAGTAGAGCTAGCTGGAATGTCATACATTTTGAAATTTCATTTAAAAAATTGAAATCCTAGGTATGACAGAATTAAGCTCTAACAGAGGGTTTAAGCAAGTGTTACTTTTTATTCTTCAAGGAAGTATAAGGATTTTCTAGGTTTTCCATTATTTTGCAATTAAAACATGAAGATTTTTTAAAAATCAGGGTTGCTTTAAGCCCAATTCTGGGAAAAGCCAGTCAGCCTTGAGAGAAAAGAGTGAGTGATGGAGAGACAGAGAGATATGGCCTCATGAACTGCTAATAGCTCACCTCTGAATCTCAGTTCCAGCTTTGTTCCTGGCTATCTGCATGTTTCACCTGTCTCCAGTATACTTATATCCAGTGATATATATATATGCTTCCTTTTCTTAAATTGAAGACAGTAATTACTTGCTTATTTAATTGGATTTATTAATAAAATTTGTTCACATTCAATTTAAACCTCATGGAAGTGGAGGAAATTGCCACCAAGTTCAACTGTTTATCCCAGAGCTCAGATGGCTTGAAAACCATTTGAAATTACAAAGTGCTGTACTGAGCACAAAGTAGCACAGGTGCACAGAGAAAACAGATGTTTTACCATGGACTGTAAAACACAGAAGCTTTCAGCTACACTGTCCTTCCTTGGATCCCGAGCTTGTCTGTTTTTTCCTGACTATCTCAGTGGATCTGCTAAAAAATACTACCCCTCCCCACAGGCTCCACCACACTTGACATGCCTGGAGGTCAGAGCTAAAACATCACTAGAGCTGTGTATGTGTGCACACACATACACCTAATGCTGCATAGATTGTATTCTACAATTTTGATGGTCAGATCTCTCCTCTGTGATCCATTACCTTACTAATTAAGCAATACTATGGATCCTCATTTGCCCTGATCATTATTATTCCATTCAGTAGGTGATTTAGCTGATGAGCAGCTAAGGTCACTTTCTGATTAACTCAATCAATTAATGCTCTTCATTTTGCAACCCCCACTTTATCCATAATAGAAACTGTCTTCACCTTCCCCCTCTCCTTCCTGTTATTTTAAGGAAGCTACGGAGAAGTAAGAGTAAGTATCACATGCAATAAATATTTGCTTAAGAAAGGAAAAAGCCTCCTGTACCTGTGGTGCCATAGGGTAAAAACAGTCAAGAGTTTGGTGCGGAGGCAGCTGTTTCTAAATGTTGAGTTCAGCATTTTATTATTTCTTTTGTTATTACTGTGTAGGGGTCAAAATTAAACACCATGAAAAGAGTATGCCAGAGGGAGCATTCATATCCAATTAAATATCCCATATTAGCCATGTCCCTGAGCAGATTGTTGGCTTGACTTCTCTGCAGTATTACTGTGTCAGCCCTTTTAAAAATAATTTAAAAAGAAGGATACTATAGCATGGTCACCAAATCTGCGATAGCTCCCCCAAAAGATCTTGAACTAGGTGTGGAGCTGGCAAAATTCAGTGCCACCAGTGCGATGAGCTTGTTTCACGTGAGTTGAGATCTGGCCCACTGCATGTTAGAATATTGCAGGACATCATTGCCATCTTCCTGCAAGGGGGTGGACACAGCATACGTATGAGAAAGATGAAAGTCCCCTTCTTCATGGGTGTTTAAGCACTTAACTCTGAGTACAATCAAAGGCTTCAGGATCGATAGCCTGGATGGGATATATATCACCCTTCTTTTGTACTGTGCAGTGTCACGAACAGACACTTGCCCTGGCAAGGCCATCACCTGTGACAGGAGTGCAGCAAGTGGCAGCTCCGTGGTCAGGGCTCAGATGCTCAAAGATGGAGGTCTAGCCAAGATACATGCTCATAAGTCTGATGTCTAGCACTGGCAGAGACAGGTTGCTATTTGAATAAATTGGATTAATTATGTTAAAGGTTTTTGTCTCCTTCATACATGGATTTGCCAATCACTGGCCATAATTAAACTGTCAGACCATAACATTGGCTCGATCCCTTCCAGCTTGAGTTTTCTACCTGCTAATTCCCCATGTAACTCTTTCTCCTCCTCTATTTCCCTTCCCCAGTCTTTCTACCAAGTCTTTCTTGCTGAGAGAGCACTGCATGGGGCTCTCATGCAGCGCTGCTATGAAGTCCCTGCCAGGCTGACAGCTCCTTTGCATGAGGCCAAAAGATCTATCAGCTACAGGCTCAGCTCTCCTTGGCACACAGCCCTGCCGAGGGAGGAGGTAACAGCAGTGGGGAGGTAGTGGGCAGTTTCATGATCTCTGGTGGACTCTCTTGCGAGTTGCCTGTGACAGAGCTCTTGGCAAAAAGCTTCTGCTCCTGGTGGGAAGAGCAGAGACAGAGACAGGTCATCCTGCAACTTCTGTTGCAGCAGTGGAGAACGCAGGCTGCGTGCTGGGAGAGACTGTGGACAACACCCAAATTGCTTAATATAGCAGTGGGAAAGCACACTGCCTGCATGCAGGATACCTTCCCCAGCCTTTTCTTCCAGGTAGTCCCGCCACCCTCTCCTTCCCAATGTCATAGCTCAGATGAGCTGATTGCCAGTGCAACGATTTCAGGTGATAGCTGGGCCTTGTCAATGACAGTAAGTGCTTCTAAGTAAATTATGCACCTGCTTCATAGAAAGATTGAACATACAGGAAGATATGGCTAAGGTTAATGGACTAATCACTTGTCTCTCACCCCTGGGGTCTCCGTGCTAATCCAGATGAGATCTGAAGGCTGAAAAATTACAGGGACATATATAACTCAAAGGCATAATTGAATTGAGTTGTGAGGTATTCTTACCCAGGTTCTCACACCTATGGTGTATTTTACAAGGAAACCAATGATAAGTAGAGTCTGTGGGTGCTGGGTGTTCAACAAAGGATGACAGGGACAGTCTTTAGTGGCAATTTAACTTGATCTCTTTAGTCACAGAGCAGCTGTAGTATAGCGGCATACTGAAGTGCAGTTGGTCCATGACTGCCTGGAGCATGTCACTGCCCTGTTGCTAGACAGAAGCACGCTGTGCTGTCCTTTGCTACAAGTGGAAACTAGTCAAAAATGGTGCTTTTGCACTGTCCATATTAACAAGATCAACTTAAAATGTTTCTTTTCTTTGGGATATACCTATATGCCTCAGATCGTGTCAATTCTCTCTCCCTTGAATGAAGTTTTCTCTTCATGCACAGCCCCTTCTGATAGTCTCAAAAACTCATGATAAAGCAAGTTCCTTTGAATCTGAAAGTGGCTTGTTTATCTGCCCGCTTACCCACATGGCCAACATAGGCCATGTTTTCACTATCAGCTTACAAGGCAGGTCTGACTCGTTTGCACAAAGAGGGGAAAGTAGGCTGGCATCTGATCTGTATTTGCAGATCTGGTCCTAGCACCACTATGCATTGCCTGTTCTGTTATTTTCATCCCACCAGCCTGTCAGCAGAATGGTAGATGGCTTTGATACCTGCCTAGAGTGAGCAGAAACCAAGGCCTCTGTTCATCTTCATTTTCATTTGCTCCACAGTCACCTCCTCTTCTCAGTATGTGGAAACCCTGTATCCAGGGTGTAGCTGGAAGCCCATCAGTTGTCTCCCTCAGCTCTTGCCCACAGCCCCATATTCCTACCTGTCCCTGCTGGCACATGACCAAGGAGTGGGACCTGGTGGTCGAGCCCTTTTGCTTGCTTTGTAACCTCAGGTGCTACTCAGGACTCAGGGCTGGGGAGCTCTTCTCTTTAGACCTAGGTCAAGGCATTCACGATCCAAAGTTAAGACCTCCAGCTGAACACAAGCAAGTAATTTTTAGGGTAAAATTAGTTTTCATAGCCAGACTGAATTGATCAAGGAGAGATGGAGGAGGAGGCTGAAGCTGCTATTAGATGCACTGGTACCAACTCCAGATACAGTAGCAGAACAAGAAACTCCAGATCAGATGAGTGTTTACAGTCTTCCCCTTTATCAGTTAAGGATAATATCATTTCCACCACTGGAGATTGCCCAGCAAAAACAACTATCATATTCTCCAGTGAGTCAGTAGGTCTGTTAAATTTGGTAATGTAGTTACATAATACTGAGGAGAAAAAGATTAAAAGCTTAGCTGTTTGGGGTTTCTCCTGCTAAGTATCTGGGGACACATAAAAAATGCTCTTCAGAGAAGAATCATAGGTATCCTGGGAAAAAATTGTCATTGAGATGAGGCTTTTTTGTGCCAGTCTGACAATGAAAAATGAGCAGATCCTCAGCACTTTCTCTTGGGCTTGGCACAGAAACAATTTACTCTGATCTGCTTGGGAACACATAGTGAGGTTTTTCTAAAGACATTGTTAGAGTCCTCCCATTAAAGAATAAATACCATAGAACAGAACAGAACTGAACAGACTAGATGAGACTAGTCTAAACTAGACTAAGGTAGACTAAACTAGACTAGAACAGAACAGAACAGTTGAAAGGGACCTGCAATGATCATCTAGTCCAAATGCCTGACCACTTGAGGGCTGACCAAAACTTAAAGTGTGTTATTAGGGGCGTTATCCAAATGACAAACACTGGGAGGCTTGGGACATCAACCACCTCCCCAGGAAGCCTGTTCCAGCGTTTGACCACCTTCTCAAGTGGTAAGTGAACATTCTGTCAGCCCAAACCCTCCAGCAGTGCAGAAGTCCTTGCAGTTCCCTGTCTTCAACCCGGCTAAGCACAAACACTGTGTTTGTGCTTACAGCAGCCAAACGCAGCTGAGGGGGTGTGTGTGATGTGTACAGGCTGTCTCTTGGGACTGGCCATGCACTTGGCTTAAATTACCCAGAATTGATAAGAGCAGCCTTCTACATACGTGTTTTCTGAAGAGCTCCACGTGAGGACCTAAAGCGTGAGGGTCTGCATCCTTCACAAACCAAACCACGTCATCCACCGTCCAGGTCAAAGGATTCTTGCTTGATGGCCGAGTCGTGTCTTGCTGTTCTGGTGAAGGACTTGAGGCTATCAGTACAAAAAAGCCCACAACAGCGCATTACAATGGCACACAGCAGTTTCCTTGGTTCATGAGTGTGAAGGGGTAAGTCAGCCTCACTGCGGCATTGGACATTGGATCTATGTGTGCAACTATCAGCCTGAGATAGTGGGGTGGGGATAGAAGGGGACTTGGAGCAGTTTCCATTCTGATTGCTTATCAGGAGACATGATCCCAGCTGGCGAATTGCGTTAAAAAACATGAAATCCTCAGGTTCCTGCTGGGGAAGGAAAAATGTGCCAGCTGCCAGGCTCTTAAACGGAGCTGCCCCTGCTGTCTGATCTGCAAGCAGCAGGGATCTTGGCTCAAGAAGATACCACCCTCCCACCTGGAGAGAAAGTGCTTCAGCACTAAACAAAGAAGTTTGCCGTTGAATGTGAAGGCTAGAGGATAAAATCAGGATTTAGCAAATAGGTTTTTTCTTTGCATTCAAATATTCAGACTTAATGCTTAAAGGAAGGTTTCTAGTCTATATACTCCTAATCTTACACTCTCATGAAGCTGATGGTCCCCAGTGAATGCCTATTTGGAAAGCTACTAAAACACGTGAAGATGAACGTTGCAGATGTGACTTTTTAATGGTATAAACCCTGGATGATTTAAGGTCACTTCGGCTTGCTATAGCTTTAAATCAAGTGAATAAAGGCACATTGGAATGAAAGTGCATTTATGTTTTTATTCTTAGTCTCTCCAGAATTATAAATCTCAGCCTCTACGTGAATATAATTTGCACCCCACTTATGCTGTTTCACTATTACAAGAACTATATTATGCTAGGTTACAGGAAAACTGTTTAAATTTGTTTATATCCACACCAAGCAAACTTTGCATTAGTATGTGGCAGCACACAGAAATATAAAATTTTACTTGCCTAGACCTGCTTCTTCCTTTCTATTAAGGCCCAATTTTTAATGAGAGAGGTGCAAATGGTAAGCAAGCAGACATTACAGACAACAAAAAGGGAAACAGGAGAATGCAGGTATGGGAGACCACAGATACCTAAGTAGGAGCCTGGAGAAGCCCCAGGTAGCCAAGAAGGCAATCAGAGCAGCTGAGGAGAGAAGGGCTGAGCTCTCCAGAGAAATACCGAGCTTACAGAGACAGATTAAATGTATGAGAATCCCCATGAGCGACGCAAAACATGATCCTAATGCGTGTAAGCGAATGTAGTGGGTTGGGTTTGTGGCTTATGTAGATTGTCATTCCATTGACTTCAATAGAGCTGTGCTGATTTATATCAGCTCTGGCTCTGCCCATAAATGCCAAATAATGGCTCTGTGTGCATGTTGGTCCTTTTTTTCTTGCCACCATGCTCATCTTACCGTATAATGCTGTGAGATACATTTTGCAGTTACAAAGGATGAACTACAGAAAGCAGCAGTGCTATGAATGTGCAAATGTGGTCGATGGGCTTCATAATGGGATGTGATGTAAATATCATGATAATTACGCTCTCATTTGCTAAGTCACTGTTCTGGATATAAAGGACAAGGAATAGCTGCAGGTCCTCTTAATTAGACAGTGAGGATTGGTGTTTGTATGGACTCAGGCGACCCTGGGCTCTGCTCACAGAATAGATGCAATACACAATGGTAAAGACACCATCTGGAGCCTTTGGCATGAAACGATGAAGACAAAGAATGCAAAAAGAACAGGGTAATCTTGGCCAAGTCCTGGATCATCAGTAACATTGAGTAATTTTGTCAGCGACAAGTGGGAGAACTGAGACTTGTCTTGGAGGCAGAGGGTTGAATATTTCTCCCCTACCTGATCTGCCAGTGGTCTGGATGCCAGCTGATGTATGGAGATACTGGGCACATCGGTACCTCAAACCCAAGGTCGGGGAGAACACCAGGCTTTCACAAAACAGCTGGAAGTAGAGGAGGGGGGACGAATGCTTGGCTGTGCCCAAAGGATTACAGAAGTTTCTGTGCTACTGTCACAACATGGTTGGGGCAGATGTTTTGTCACTACTGAGGATCGCAATTTTTCCCTTAAATCTGCATGAACATAAGGAAAGCCGAGGGGGCTTAGCCTCAGATTCACACCACATGCAGAGAGATCAGCCCCCAGCCCAGCGACTCCTGCCTGCAACCTGCTGCTTCCAGAAATGCCAGGAAAGGGCAAAGGGGAATAGAGAGCCCTGAGATCAGTTGGAAGCTTTCACAGGTATTGGAAATATCTATAATGAAAGGAAGAGGGGATGAGAAGAAAAGGTTGAAATGACAGGGGAATTCTATTTACTCCTTTGCAATCTAGCAATCAATAGCATAAATCTGATTTTTTTAAAGACAAATATATAAATGACCTTTCTAAAGAAATCACATGACTAGAACTCTGCCAGGCTCTAGCAGGTGAAGATAACCCTTTCAAATCCCTACTGAAGGTATAATATAATAATATAAAACCAAGAATTATGTGTAGATACTAGGTCTTCAAAGATTGTTTCATCTTTATTTACCTACCTAGAGACAAGTCCTGGATACTCTGCTGTTTCTTTAATAAATTAAGATGTGTTATTTGAGTTGTGTGTAAGGGCTACATTTAAATGTTGTTAGTAAAATGGGGATACCACCAGTTTGCAGACAAATATCTGGAACACAGTCTGTAGCTGGGAAGAATGGAAACAATCTGGTTTTCTGTATCTCTTAAAATGTATTTTATTTTTTAATTTACTTCGCTTTTTAACATCATAGTTTACACATCTAAGTGTAATCTCTCTATTTACTAAAGCAAATAAATCATTTCATGTCTATACAAAGGCATAGGGTTTGCTTCAATAGCATCACTTTGCTGAAAGATTATATTAAGCGTGAAAGTGTTTGATGGCAGCAGGGCAAGTACTATACATTTTTTCTTATCTGAAGGTATTCACACTTAACCTAAGAAGTAGATAAATGAGGAAGTCTTATGTCTCCCGGGTATCCTATGCCATCCTGTCATCAGAATTAATCAAGATGATAATGAATACTCAGATTACAAAGAGATGGGAGTGCTCACGACCAATAATTATTTTTAGAGATCATAATCTAGGTCAAATCCAATTTCCTGTTTTTGACAGGTGGCAAAAATTTTTCAAATTAATGGAATGGGGTATGGAAATTTAGGTAATCAGAGGGAAGCACTTCCCCCTCCTGTCTGAAGCCATGTCAGGAAGGAGAGTGAAGAGGTTCCTCTGCAGGGGAAGGTCTCCAGGCATGCCAGTCGAGACATACCGGGTCTGTGGCCAAAGCCCTGCAAAGCTGATGGAAAGACATGGATTGGTCTGAGCTCTGACCCCACACAGGCTTTTCTGTGCACACCCACCCACCCCCCTCCCCCTGTCCTTGGGACCTTCCTGAGCAGGAGGATGGAGATGGAGAAAGTCAACAGCTGAATGGCTGCATGACAAGGAAATCCAATGCTAAAATGGAGCTAAACCTGCAAAAGAAGAAAAGATAAATAACAGACTCCCTAAATATGTCCTTGGCAAACAAACAGAGCCCAGAGGGAGTGCGGTCATTGATAAGAGTGGAAAGGGAGTGACAGATGAACTTTAATATTGCTGCAGGCCTAAATGATTTCTCTGCCTCAGGGGAAGGGGGTGGGAATGAAATTTTAAAAGGTTCTCTCTGATTGCACTGGAGCGGGTAATAAGGAGCAGCAGATCTACTGAAACTAAGCAGAAGTAGCAGACCCTCAAAGGCGTAGAGAAATGGGAATTGCTTTAGAAACAAATCACCTCCCACTATAAACAAGGACAGGAGGAAGGCTTTGCAGAAGACACTTTTCTAAAAGTCAATGGCATACCGAGCAGGAGAAGAGGACAGGCACCAGAGAAGCAGGCGTGTAGAGAACACAGTTACCGGATATTTATGGGTGCAAGGGCTGTTGATGAGCCACAGTCAGCAGAGAGCTCTGAGAAGAAAATTGGGCTGAGCACATCAATTTGCACTGGCAAGCACCTGTAGGAGATGCCATGCACCACCAAGCAGAGTTCTTGTCCCACCAGTGAGGCAGCTGCTCCCAGTCCCAGCATGGTACACATGGTGCAAGAGCAGCCCATCATCCTGCCGCATGAGATATGGCCACGGGCTGGTGTTAAATATTTAGTTTGGCTTTTCTTGCTTTTGCAGGAGAAGAAAAGAAAAGAAAAAATAAGGAAAGCAACTCACTGAAAGCATCGAAACTTTCAACCTGTAAATGTCCTAAAAAATTAACAAGCATGCTGTGTTTGCCAAAGACATGGCACCCAACACTGAGCTCTGCAATGCTGTCAGCAGCTCCTTTGCCAGTGCCTTGGGGAAGTGCTGGATCTGGCCCCCGCAGGGTGCTTGCAGCATTATTCTGGAAGAAGAGAAACTTCAAACCTTGCACCCGCAAATATTTTGAGGAAATAGATGTATTAGCAAGCAGGATTGCCTCTTTAACAAAGGCCCTCAGGTAACAATAATTAACTGGTAATATTGGATAATAAAATCTACATTAAAATAACAAGCTACAGGGCAAGGTTAAGGTTATTATATTATGGTTGAACATGCAATTCTTCTTACTTGGAATAAAGGCTTTGTTTGTTATGTAAGCAGGCTTGGAAAGGTTTATGATGTCCTTGACTATTCCTTCCCTGATTTAAGAGCTTCAATTTGGCAAATGATGACAGGAAAGTGCATGTTTATCTGTTAGCAGCCACAACTGGCTTTCTGAAATGAGATTTTTTTTTTCCAGAATTTTTTAGCATAATCATGGAGAATTAGGCATCAAGCTTCTGATTGCATTAATGAGAGCTTTGAGGTTCAATCTCATCCATTCCGCTTGAAAGACATGTTCTGCTATGCACTGAGATATGTTTTATGGTTACGGCTTTTTCCATGATATTTGCCCACCATGATAAATAAGGCAAGCTGTTTTTCAAAACTATCCATAAATAAAGAGGATTGGTTTGAGGTTTCAGAGAGAAATTCTTCCTCTTTTTAATGACTCCTGCCCATCCCTGCCTTGTAAGTAACTGAGAAGGCTAAGAAGAGAGACTGGCATGCACCACTTACTCATCTTTGCTCACTTATGATTCAGCAGCATATAAATTATCCCTAGAAAGAGGAAAAACACAAACATCATAGTGAGAGTGCAGGTTCTGAAGACCTTTGCAGGAGAGATTTTTGCAAAGACATCAATCAAACTTCGGTGTGGCTGCACTAAGGCCAGAAAGATAGGTATTTTTAAAAGTCCGGATTGCCAGTAAAACTGGCAGCAGCGTCGTGGGTGAAAGAATTGATAGCTGGGAAGAAATAGGGTGTCTAATTTTAAGGGGAAGCAGACAACGCTTTTTAGGACTCTACTGTGGGAATTCCAATGTTACAGAGCTGATGCTATTGCAAATGGAGTTGAAGATGAAACCGGGCTGTGATTGGAAACAGCGCGGTTTCTTTAATGCTAGAAGCGATACCATAGTGAATCTGTGGGCACCTTGACTTCATGAATGTTACTGTGTTGCCCATCACAGCCTCTGAAAACTGCCTGGCCATGCCCAGGAGCAAATGTCTCTTCTCTGCCTCAGAGGACCCAGATCCTGCCATGGACTGCAGGAGAGTCTCTGCTGGAGTCTCCAGAAAGCAGATGAGTGGTCAGAGGAAATGTGATGCATGGTAGTGGTGGCACAACAGTGTGCTAGCTTTCTGTGCTGCTGTACATTGGTGGAGCACAGGGGATAGCTATTCCCCCTGTTAGAGACCTTGACAGCAAACCAAAATGGGTTTGTATGTATCTCTATGGCAGACCCTAATCTACAATGGATGATACTAGGACTAATAAATTGTTAATAAATATAAATAAGCAATATCAAAGAATTCATAACCATTTACATAATGTTCACTGTGTAACTGTCAATTTTAGGGAGTCTTTGCTGTTGAGATGGCTAAATGACCCAGAGGTCCCAGAGGAGCTAGTCTGTACAAGTGTCAAATGCCTGCCACATAAAAAATACTAAGCAGTTTTGGGATGAGTCCCATTATCCCGAAATATTATATGTAACAGCTTAAAGTTGCATGTAACTGCTTCAGAGACACCCACATGTCATGGATGCTTGGTTCAAAAGCAAAAGCAATCTTTTCCTCTTTGCTACTCAAGGTGCTTTAATATGTTTTAAGTTACAGAAATACAGGAACCTGACACTCTATGACTTCTCTGTTGGTTCACTTCTGGAAAAAAGACATGCCATCTTTTAGGCTTTCTTTTTGTAAAGACTGCAGATTTTGTTGGAAGTCATGATAAGAGAGATGGAGCTGTCTCCTGAAGCTTAGGTTCCTGCTCAGGACTATGCTGAACTTTCACAAGACATTGGATGAGGCTGAGAAACAGTGACATTCTGAGTCAGAAACAAGAAGGGAATGTAATGCAGCTAAGCAAGCTTAAGGTGTTCTGATTTTAAGCTACAGTCCCTTGAATGTAATTTCAAATTCCTGATACCAAGGCTTTTCTCCACACAACACATTCTTAAGAACGTGGATTTTGTGGAAGCTGAAAATGTAAAAAGTATTCAATAAACCACTGAGTGATTCAGGGAAGAAAAATCTATGAAGGGTTGCTAAATATGAATCCACCACCTGTTTCAGGAAGTCTTTGAGCCACAGATTTCTGAAGGTGAATTGGGTAGTGGGGAAGTACTACCATCTCTGCACTTATCTCTTTCCTGAGGTGTGCTGCTGTCGCATGCTGGAGACAGGATGCGTGGCTAGACAGACCTTTGCTCTGAACTGCTCTGACCCTTCACATGTACTACAAAGAGATAACAACCAATCCCAAGCAGAATAAGAAAGATTTTCAAAGTGAGCAAGTAAGAACATTGTAAAATCTTGGCTCCTCGCAGCTGCCAACTAAAACACTTGATGAAAGGGTCCCAGTTCTGCTAGGAGGCTCTGAGGAAGCAGTGGGAGAAGGCAAAAAGAATCCTGTGCACAGCAAGCCTCTTTGTACTCCCAGCACCTGATTACGCCAGTCTGAGAGGCACTGAAGAAGATCTTAAAGTGGCTTTTCATTTCCTTTTCTTTGTACTTAAGGCCCCCAGTTCTTAGTGACAACCTTTTCGAAGTTGTTTGCAGTAGTGCAATTCTATACTATCTACTCTATACTATCCACTTTGCTTTGAGTAAAGCTGACTGTAAGTAAAGAAAAAAATAATTATGAGAACCCAACACTTATGTCTGTTCTGCATAATAAAGTAACACAGGGTAAACCAGGAAAACAAGTGTGCAAAAATAATAGCAAAGTGAGTAATGGGTTTGGGTAGGTATTGAACATTTCAGAAGGCAAACATAGATAAAGAAAGAAATACAAGGATAAATACTGGCCACACATATTTTTGATGAATAATATTCTAAAGTATTAAATAGTGAATATTTGGGAACAAGAAATAATAGAGACACTGGGGAGGTGAGGGATGTGAAGGAATTAAGCAAAGATCTGCAGCCACTGGAAAGAAGTTTGGGAGTGGCTACCAAGCAAGAATATGCAGAATCACTTACAGTTTCCAGGGGAAATGCAAGGGCAGAAGGACAGTGTAATGAGGTGATGGTAGACAAAGGGGCCGGGGGAACCACCAAGGCTTCTGCAAATATATCAAGATTAAAAAAAAAATAATACCAGAGTGACAGTAGATTCTATTAATAAATGAGGTAGGGACAGAAATTAATGACTTAAAAATGGCTAAGATACTCAACTCCTTTGTTAGATCTGTCTTCAAGATGAAAAATGCATAAATGAATTTTGAATAATTAGTAAGGGGTGAAGACACTCTTGGAATCACTACTGATAAAGACCTGTTAATGGAGAACTTGGAAAATGCAAACAAAGACAAAGTTAACAGAATTCCAGGGAATTAGCTAATGTGTTTGATGAACCCAGGACATTCCTAGGTAAAAAAATAAAATAAAAAATCATGGCTAATCAGAAATACAGCTAACGGGCAGAATGATCGAGCCAGCAAACAAATCCTAGCAGGGTAACTGGACAAAAATACAAAGGGAGGGAAGAAGAAGGGTTGTTGAATGCAGTGGTTCCCATGGCATCCCTTGGATTTGCAGATAAACTCCTTGTGACTTTGCTTCCTGAAGGATAAAAGAGCCTTGAGCAGTGAGCTGGATGGTTTCTAAAAATATATGTTTTGCTGGGCAGTCTTTTTCAAACAAAAAAACCCCTTTTGCTAAAATGCTTTGAGGTGGGCATTAACATTTGGGCTTGCATTGCATCGTGTCTTGTACACAGCTGGTGTCACACAAATAACAGGTACCTGTCTGTAGGCAGTATCAATCTATGGGAGGAATGCCTTATATATTAATATTTATATCTGCAAGTTGATAATAACAGTTGTGATTGCCACACAATTATACATAATATATGTTTACACAATAACAGCATTAGAAAACGTTCCCCTTTTTACTCAGTGATGAACAGATTGATTTTGTGTTTACATAGATTATTATTTCTCTTTCTAAATGGATATGTGAGTGGTCTGGATGGATGTCAACCCAGACCCACCTCACTAATTTTCTTGTGGAATTTGGGAATGAGTTAAGACTCCAGCATGGCACCAATACAGCAACACAGATTGCTAAATTGAAGATATATTACCACTTCTGTTTCCTTCAAGATAGGTCCCGTTCCTTGTTGGGCTGGAGGTTTGATGATGCAGGCTGGTAGATGAGGACCCCCCTGAAGACATCTGGGCAGGACGATGGCTACAGGAGGAAGAGGAGCCTCCAGCAGGACGTCCATCTGCAGGACTCTGCCGCATAGAATACATGGAGCCCATGCAACTGAAGGCAGAATCAGCAGGATCCATGCTATACCGCTTCATATTTTCAGGATCAGCCACATAGTCCTCAGGTGTGAATGTTTCTGCTCAGGAACCCAAGGCACAAAAGAAACATCAGTAGAACAGAACCAATTTTAATTAAGTCCTTGGGAAAAAAAAAA